GACTATGAGCACCTACTTTATACACAACTCTCCTTTTTTATCACATCAGCTAGGACTGGAACAGTGGTTAGGACTCTCGCCGACCATGCACATGGTCCGGGGTTCGATCCCCTGCTATCGCACACTCGATATCTATGGTCAGCCTGCTACAGATATCCATGCTGAAAATTCCATACTTGTACTGAAAATGCGGTGTGGCATCAAGCTGTAATCAAAAGAAATTATGGCAGAAGTTAGAATTCACGGGCTGACCATTGGATCGGGTCCCAGTGGCTTAATGGTCTACGATCTCACTTGCCTTGTTACCAGAAGGTCCTGGGTTGGAACCCTTTTGGTGGGTGCTTACTGATGAAAAGTCCCAGGCTAGGCCGACGAAAGAGCTGTCCAGTACTGCCAGCTGGTTTTCCAATGGTTCTCTAACCGATGTCAGCTCATGATGAAATCCTGTAACCAATTAAAAATGATTTTATGCTCGCACGACTAAGTAAACGCCTCTTCTATCATGAATATACTGTTGTCACTGTTTCTATTCATATTTAGTCTTAATTTTACATTTATGTTCTTATTAACATTACTAATAATGTAAATGACCCGGCAACAACAACAACAGACAACAATCAGCATAAATGGAAGGAAACTGAAAGAAACAACCTCCTTTACCTATCCACCGACCTGGGAAGCATCGTTTCAACTACAGGCGAACGGAACTGACGAGGATATCAAAGCAAGACAAGCTTTCACTACTCTCAAGTCTGTGTGGAGGTCAACAACTCTCAGCATCAAAAATAAGATCCGCATTTTCAACTCCAATGTGAAGTCAGTGCTACTATACGGATCAGAGACTTGCACTGCGCGTCATAAAGAGCATCTCAAACAAACTACAGACCTTCATTAACAGTTGTCTTCTCTCAATACTCAAGATCAGATGGCCGGCCAGAAAAGATCAGCAACAGGGAGGGATCTCTGGCAATGAGCGAACCAACCAGGAACCGATTGTGAAACAAATAGGTAGAAAGAAATGGAGATGGATTGGCCATACTCTTAGGAAACCATCAAGTGACATTACTAGACAAGCCCTCGAGTGGAACCCGAATGGGAAGTGGCGAGTTGGTCGTCAGTGTGAGGATGACTTGGAGGAGGTCATGTGAAGAGGAGATGAAAACGTGTGGTCAGACATGGAGCCAGGTGAAGACTCTAGCAGAGAACCGAACGCAATGGAGACGCACGGCTGAAGCCCTATGTTCCTGTAGGAATTAAAGGATACAATAATAATAATAAATGACCCGGGATTCATTTTTCTCCTCACTAAGTAATGTAAAGATAAAATTAGGTGTGGTATTGTACTACTACATGCTGAGAATTCCATATTGTTTCAGAAATACTGTCTGAAATATAAAGCCATTATGATTACTATTAAATATATCAACAATAAGACCTAACTAAATATTTATCAAAAAGAATACTTCACATAATTTAACAAGTAAGGTGTCCATTGAGTATTCATTTAGTGTATCATCACCTAGCTTATGCACACAAACATACAAAGAATGTGGTTGTCATGACCACCGAGTCAAACCTTTGTCCCCCATGGGTTTTTTTTAAAATATCAACAAAACCTGATACTGGTCTGTTGATTAATCTTTAACTTATTGACTTCATACCATAAATTTTCGATAATCAGAACAGAAATTTACGTTTTGTTAATTTCTTAGGATATTCGATTTATTTCTGTGAATGCAGAGTACCTAGAATCGACGTGAATTTCTTAAAAATATAACTAGCTTATAAAAATGGCCTGATTCTCAATAGTACTGTAGAGTAACCTTTACGTTTAAAACATTTAATTTCTTACTGATCTGTTCATTAGATATATCACACAGTGAAACAGTATTATCCAATCGATGACGAAGCTTCGAACAAAATTTATTGTGCATAATCATATCTATGATAATCACACGACTTCGAATCTTCAATTTTATAGTTTCCCTTTTTTATCTGTTTGTCGTAGGGGTAGGTGTGTCTAAGTGGTTTAATTTAATGCCAAAAACTAATAACTCCAGTAGGATGTATGGTGTTGTTAGAGCCAATAAGTCAGGATACCCTATCACACCCTCAGTTGAATGACCTCCTTATGAATGGTCTAAATATTTAGCTACGGTAATAAATCCACTTACAAGTCACTCAAAATTTAGACTGACAAATTTTTATGAACTAAAACATAGATCAGATTAAATAATTTAAAATTAGATAATGAAGAAAAAATGGTCACTTTTGACATTGCCAGACTATATACACGTATACCGATAAAAATATGGCTATAGAGGCAGTCAGAAACGAACTCATTTCTGACCAAGAACTTGAACTTAGAACGAAAGTGTCACTAGAGGACATAATGCTGACAGTGCAGCTAGCTACGTCAGACTTCCATAGTATTTAAATTCGGATGGAAAATATACAAATAAACTGAGGGAGTTGCCATCGGGTCACCAATATCCCCGATTGTGCCAGTTAGGTGGGAGAAGTTACTGATTGAAACGTTCTGCCCCACACCAAAATTATGATGGAGGTATGTGGATGACACATTCACTGTACTTAGAACACAGGACAAAAATATATTTTCCCAACACATCAACTCGAAGGTGGAGGTTATTAAATTCACTTACGAATTAGAAAGTCAGGAAGGGGAACTTCCAATGTTAGATTGTAGCGTAATAAGGAAAGAAGATGGGAAGTTAAACACTAGTGTTTACAGGAAACCCACACATTCAAACAGATATTTGAATTTCTTATCATCCCATCCTATGTCAGTGAAAATAGGACTGGTGAAATATTTAAGTAATAGGGCACAAAAACTTAGTAGTACCAAAGAAAATCTAGGACAGGAAGTGAGGGATCAAGAGAAGCTTTGAAACTTAATAATTACCCGGATAAATTAATCAGGAATTATGTAGGAAAATGTAAAAATAAAATCAATAATTATAGTAGTGATAGTGATAATAATATTATTAATGACGACATGCATGTCAAACATGCACAGAATAATGACAACACCAACAATAAGGAATCTAAATCATCAGTAGTAATTCCATACAAGGAAAGAACCTCGGAAATCCTACGCAGAATTCTTAACAAGGCAGGAATAAAAGTGGCTGGCATTCAAACCCACAAACTCAATTAGAAATAATCTTTGTCGGTTAAAGGATCAGTCCTGTAGAGCCAATTAAAAAAAACACAATTTAGTTTATCTAATACCCTGCCTGCAATCATTGTCAGGTCAAATTCATACGTCAGAGCAGTAGAACGGGGTCAGTCAGACTAGCGGAGCACAAAAACAGCCAAATCCAGATTAGGTGATCCGAATAAGATAAGAAATCTGAAGAATAGTTCAGTCATAGCACTACATGCAATTACACACAACCATACAATAGGATGGGATAAGATGACAGTTTTATAATCTAATGTAACAGGATGGAGGGAGAGATTGATGGCGGAAGCTTTATTTATCGAATCAACTGCAAACATGGGTAATAGGAATGATTCAACACCTGTCCAGTTGGATATCTGGAAAATTCTACAATTCCCACGAAGACAAATAGGAGAAAACAAAGAAAACTATGAAACTCAAGTTTCGAAGTCGTGTGATTATAATTGATATGATTATGAACAATAAACTGTGTTCGAACCGTTGTGATCGAGTGAACAATAATACTGTTTCACTGTGTGATACATCTAATAAACAAATTAATATGGAATTACATACTACCACAATGCCCAAGTTTTACTCATATATTAATTGGATTCCTTAGCTCATATTGCTAACTTTCTCATCCTTTAGATAAATATGATACAAGATGTAGACATTAATAAAAAAATTTGAAATTGTGAGTAATCAATAATCTTCTTTACTGTTTCATTTCTCAGAGATTTATTGGCCTTATTTGTTATTTCCCTCCGTTCTCATATTAAATTACACAGCCTATAATGTACAAGTTTCTTAAGTTTGCTGAAGAGCTTTGAGATTTCATCTTAATCACTTTATTACCTGATCTGATTATCTCATTCGTCTTATTATCTTATTCTCTAATTTCTAAACGTAATGAAATTTATTATTCAATTCACTTTAAGATTTTCCCATCGATTGGTTGGACCGAAGCGCTCGGTCTCAGGTTGACATGTCGGCTTCTTGTGCAGATGCGTCGACGATGTCTGGGCATGTAATTAGAAGTTAATTGGTGGATGGTGACTAGCAGTGGGATTTAGGATGCATATTTCGTCCTATTTGGGACTCATCGGCTGGACACACCTGTATTCCGCAATGAGTGATGATTTTCCCACCTAGGCTCGAACCCAGTGCCCATAGTTTCAAACGCCAACCTAAGACCAAGCAGTTCGGTCCAATCAATCTTCGGGAAAATCTAAAATCGAATTAAATCATTAATGAAACCCATTGCACAAGTGGTCTGGTGGATAACGCTTTGGAGTTTGAAACTATGGGCACTGGTTTCGGGCCTCAGTGAGAACTCCACCACTCACTGGGGAATGCAGGTACATCCAGATGACGGGTCCCAAACGGGACGAAGTGCGAATCCTGGATGCCACTTCTAGTCACCATCCACCAATTAACTTGTAAAGAAATTTATTTCAAACAGCCAAACTAAGTGGGTTTTATTTCATTTACATAAGACCATATAAATATGATGACTCTATTATTTGGTAGTTCCTGTTTACTGGTTATATTTTCATTATTATTATCGGCAGTAGATATCACTTTGGTTTTTGGAACAACAGATGCTTGATTCGAGTCTTAGTGGGAAGGCTAACCGTCAATGAGATACACATACATTCACCTGATGAGTCCCAGATGGGACGGAAATATGCTTCCTGAATTTCACTGTTAGCCATCAGTAGCCAAATAACATGATGACTTTGTGATGTCTTACAAGTGTATTCGCTATCAGTTGTGTTCTGTTTAAACCTCCGTAATTCAGTGTCACACTGGTTTACCTTATGATCATTAACTGCATAAGTTCCAGAGATACTTTAAAAAAATTGACATCATCTAGATAACGTGTTGGATTACTTACCAAGTAGTTGGCTTCAAATTGTGATAGACAACTTTCTAAGACTTGTTTGCACATTTTACGAAATGTTTTGACATAAGATTCTCCAGCTCCTGAATTCACTTTGCATCTAAAATGATTAATATACAAAAATATTCTTCTTGTGATTTAACTATAGAAATTCAATCAAAGTGGTGAAATTCTCACTAAATATTGTCCCTATAACATTAAGATAGAAATGAATACTGCGGTTATATAGACCCTAATGCTGATCAAATTCCACAGATTAACTAGAGTTAAAGAGGTCGCACATAGGTGAAGCTGATTTACAAAACTCTATAGTGCCTGACACCGCAAACTGAAACGTGGAGACTTTTTTTGTGAATCATTTCTTCTCACTAGATGGAATATTTCATGTGAATGCACAAAAGATAAGCCAGATGGTAAAAAGGGGAAAACGTTATTCACTCTCTCTCTCTGCGAAGTTTTGATCTCCTTTATTGGTACAAATAACAACTAACTATCTGACTCTTCAGCTGGCTCATTTTAGTTAAAAATGTTATATTTATATATCTTATTATTATTTCCTTGGATTCCAAGCAGAACATAAGACCTCAACATCATATCTCCATTTTGTCCCATTCTCAGCAGTCATGTTTATCTGGCCGCACGATTGCCCATAACATTTCATCCCCTCCTCATATAACCTCTTCCACATCACTCATCCTCGGGGACACACTGAACTGGTCATTTCCCATTCAGGTAACACTTGAGGACATGCCACTCAATGGCAGTAAACGGTCCCCTCAGAGTGCGGCTGATCCATCTCCATCCCCTTCTTCATATTTCTGAGTAATAGGTTCTGGGTTGGTTCGCTCCCAGAACTTCCCAATGCTAATTCTTTTTGGCCGGCCATCTTATCTTCAGTATGGGGACAGCAAAGGCAGTTGTTGATGTCAGTCTGCAGTTTGTTGGAAATGCGTTTCGTGACGCACACACCAAGTTTCTGATCCATACTGGAAAAATGATTGATTTAACATTGGTGTTGGAAATCTGAACTTCGTTCTTTATGCTGAGTGCAGATCACCGAACTGATTTCATAATGGTGAATGTTTGTCTTCCCTTTCCGATCCTGGCTAGCTGTGGCATCATCATCTGTTCCGCCGGAAGATGAAACGATGCTGCCCAGATATGTGAAGGAAGTGACTTCTTTAAAATTTATTCCGTTGACAGTGATTGGTACTTCTTTTTGTTGTTGGTGGTGGTGATGGTTGTCGGTGGGTATCTTCATTACCTGCTTCTTCTCTATGACCACCTGAAGTCCTGTTTTTCGCGTCAGACTCTTGAATCAACGTTTTGGTTCTCGAATTTATGTGAGATCAGACATAAATCTCCTTAGAAGTCCAGATCCTCTGCAATCTTCGTATCGGCTAAACGTATTCCTGTCTTCTTGCTCCCCACAAATGATGTGCCACAAAGTCGAGTCCAACACAGTTAAGAGCATCATCGGTAATAGTCGTCAGCCTTGTTTTACTCCTGTCTTCATTTCAAACGCTTCACTGAGAATTCCGTTATAGGTCACTTAACACGTGACATTGCCATATAGCTGTTGAATGAGGTTAATAAAGATTTGGGGAACTTAGTAGTATTACCGCAGTTTCCAAATTACTTAATGGTCAACACTGCTGCATATTTTTTCAAAGTCGATGAAGTTAAGGTAGAGGTTTAACTGTCATTCTCTGCTCTGTTCGATGATGATGCGTAGAGTTGTCATTTGATCCACACATGATTTGCTTTTCCTGAACCCAGATTGTTCCGGGCACAGTTCTGCATACAGAACATCTTTTAGTCTCTCCGCATCGATGTGACATATATATATATCACATTGGTTTATTTGAACTAGTGACCAGCTGATTTTTTGAAAGCATTCAAAGAGCTTGAATACGAATGTTGAAATTAACCTTGTCTAGAGATAATCTCATGCGACCTTTTCACTTTCCGAAATTGTTTATAGCCTTAAGAATGATCCTTGAGGATAAGTGATATTATAAAATAATAAATATTGTCAACTGTGTAACTTTTCAAAGTTGTACCCATGCAAACTGGAGTCATTAAGTGAGGATTAGTGCATGGAAGTATGGAAATAAACAGTAGCAACTAGACATTTTTTATCAAGGAGTCTGGATTAATACAAAAGGCTTATGACGCTTGTTGAGCGCGACCAGTCTTTCCCTATATTATGAGTGGATTTTGTTTAGTTAAATGAACTGAGGTTGTTTTTTCATTGTGTTAGCTCCAAATTTATAAAATCAAAGCACTGACTATATCTATAATTTTTAACATTTGCCTAAGAAACATGAATGAGACACAAAATCAGTCAGGATAAAGCAACAGCACCAAGAAACTGTTACATTTTACATCATACAGATTCCTCTTCACATAGTGAATATATTCTGACAGGTTAAAGTATTTAACTATTTTATGATTGTCGTTTTACTTCTTTGAGGGGAGGTTGGAAAATTCTTGTATCTGGAAACAAGCGAACCGACATGTTTGTGTTTATAAATGCCATACATACATATATATATCAAGGAATTCACAACGGAAAGTTCATCGAAGCTTCTGAAGTGAAGATAAGAGTAAGAAAAGGTTGATCACTATCACCGGCGATATTCCTAATTGTGGTGGGCTGGATTATGCGGCACACCATGTATAGAAAGCAAGAAGACAGGAATATGTTTGACCGATTAGAAGACTTTAGAAGATGTGAACTCCGTGGACGATTTATGTCTAAAGTCACACAAACTCAAAGACTTACATGAGAAAGCCAACGGAGACAGGATTTAAAGTGATCAACAGAGGAGACGGAAGTGAAGTAGATAATCAATCAACCAACCAACCAACAATAACAAGCACCCATCAATATCAATGGAATAAATTTAAAATAAGTCACTTCCTTCCTTTATGTGACCAGGTAGCTTCGCTTCAACCTCAGGTGACAGCACGGATAAGGTCGTCAAAGGTAGGATCGGAAATTCAAGACAGACCTTCATCACTCTGAAGTCAGTTTTGAATTCCACTGTACTTAGCATATAGGAAAAGATTTGGGTTTCGAAAACTTAAGTTAAATCAGTCACTTCTTTCATATGGTTCAGAGACTTAGCATGTAACTAGACCATCTCTAATAGGCTTCAGACTTTTATCAACGTCTGACTTTGCTGTCTCCATATTGAAAATCAGATGGCCAGTAGGGGAGAGTAAACTAAAAAAAAACTCAGGGAGTGAACCAGCCGAGAATCTAATGTTCAACAAATATGCCGAAGAAATGCTGACTGATATGACACAGGCTGAGGAGACTGTCAGGTGAAATCGCTCACCAGGTCAGTCCTCGAGTGGAACGGGAATGGAAAACGACTAGCTGGGAGTGTGTTCAAGGGTGATTCGGAAGATACCATGTGAAGAGGAGATGAGAACCTACTGGTAATCGGGGGGCCAGATAAGGAGGATTTCAAAGAACGGGATAAAATGGAGATGTGTTGTTGAAGTCGTATGTTCTACTCGGAATTATATATGGCTTCAAAACCAATTAAATAACTAACTTTTTGTGAAGCAAATGAACTGGATTCTTCGACAGGGCATTTGCAAATGCTTCCGTTAGGCATGATAATACACGTTCTCTAGTTTCCTTATTACTCTGAAATCAGGTTTGAAAAAAATAAAGAAAAATTTTGTGCAAAGGTAAATGTGGTAGGTTTATTAACAAAATACAGAAGTAAATAGATTTCCAAAAGTAGCCCTGTATTTGAAGAAAAGTAACTCTTATATCCAAGCAAACATCTTGTAACCTTCGGTTTAATTGTGGTCATGGACAATAGGAACTCTAACCAGAGTTTACGGTATTTAAAATGACACTTTCCTAATGCTTCGTTCAAAGTTAATTTCCACGGTCAAAATTCACTGAAGTTTTTGTTTCGTGATTCAAGATAACTATTTGATGATATTAGATGGTTGCAGGCAATCGGTAGGAAACCTTGGACCTAGGTTTCGTGCTACTACAGTTCTACAGGAGGGCAATGAACAGCCCAAATAGCTCAGTGGCAACGTCTCTGACTGCAACACTAACGGGGTGACGCGGGTTCGAATCTCAGGAGGGACATGAGTTCCTCCGAGGTTGCAGATACGCCATGCTGACTGGTGAGTGCCAACTAGCACGAAACCTAGGTCAAGCAAGGCTTCCTGCCGATTTCCTCCAACCATCTAATATCATCAAGTCAATGTGCACCATGATGGCGAGCTACCTAGAATGTTGGCCACATTGCAAACCTGACTGATAGAATCCAGTCTGCACCAAACAAGGGACTAGACACGTCGCACTAGCTACTAGTGTCCAATCAAGATAACTATTGTTATTACTACGTTTTCAATCTCAATTTGCGGAAAATGTCAGTTTCCTCAATTATTATTACCTTACTGTTTCTATCCAGTCTTCCTCTTTACTTTGTTAGTATTACATTTTTTAAATCCCTATTTGTAATCTTGCTAGTTTGACAACCGAACAGAAATAGTTCTGTAAATTTCTTGCCCATCTATTACATATACACAAATGTACATCCTAACTGATAACTTCATCGGAAAGAAAAATTTCCTTTGCTGTAACCTCCTATTTAATTTTGTCTGTCATTTGAATTGTATATCCCGAAATTTGAAGAATGGTAAGCACTGTGATGGTAAAGGAACTGAAGAAGATTCTACGTTTGTCCGTTATGCTTTCTGAGGTGAATGCAAAAATTTCTATCTGGATAAGCATGAATATCCGGAAGCACTCTGAAAGAATCTCACACAAAATCTTATATCGCCCAACTCACGTACACTGAAATAACACACCCTCAATCGCACTGAAGCCATCCCGTCTGGATTATCTGAATTGAAGCAGAATATCTCAAGAAACTCCCACGTTCTCTGTGAATAGTCTGATGATGGGAGAGCATTATTCGAGAACTATGCCACTACAGTTACAAAGAACAAAACGGATGACGTCATTATGAAACTAAGCCAAGAAACAGTCTTTCGTCCTTGCCCCGAGAAATGCGTGTCCAGTTATTCTTATTGTCTTACTACCGCCCATTCAAGTGAAAACCTTGCCACGCTGATCTAAGTTCTATGGCGCAACATCAAAAGTTAACGAAGTGAACACTAAAGTCAAATTCGAGAACCTAATCAGTCAAACAAATGATCCAGTTCCGATCTCATGTGACGATGCAGATCATTTCACATCAACTGTTTTCAATTGCCACCTGGATTACACTGGTAAAAATTCTCGCTTTTGTAATCGGTTGTCCAAAAAACATCGAAATTAACTGAAAGAATTGAAGAAGAATGAAAACTTGATCATAACACGACCGGATAAAGTTCCTGAAACTGTCCTACTAAACAATTCAGACTATCTCGACAAACTCTCACTAATTCTATCTAATGACAGGAAATTTCAAAAACAGTCACTTCAAAGAGATCCCAATTAGCAGGCGGAATTACAGCTGGTGAAAATACTTAAGAAAATGAAAGGTGAATCGCTTATTAGTATGGAGCCATACGAACAAATTAGTCCATCTGGTTCCACAATGCCATGCACGTACAGCTTACCCAAGGAATACGAACAAGACGTTCCACTGCACGTAATCATAAGTCTCAGATCAAAACTTCGTTTCTGAAAAGTAAAATTTGCTTTGAATTACTAATGAGATTTTCTGTTGACAGGATGTCTGTTCTACATAAGTCAGTCAACAACCTCATGACTCAACATATTATGACTTCTCTTCTACTACCGAAACAATTTTTAGCATATTTCTCAAACTTTGGATAACTCGAACGTATACTAACTCTAAGGGTTCCACGACAAACATGGTAAGCTGACTATTCAACTAACCTAGGGACGGGTAAAGAGATGTTAATTATATAATAATGTTGTTGCATGTAGGACAGTTGTACCACATTTATCTTTTAAAGTACCACTGATGTAGCTATTTCGTAGTGAGCAACATCAATTAATCGAATTCAGGATCAAACTTACGGTGTAACCTGTGCTACTCACAAGATTTATAAGTAGTATACAGATGCAGATATAAATATGTACATCAGTTGAGAGAATATCGAATGGCTGATAGATTTAATGAACGGTGCTTGTGAAACAACATGGAAAACACGAAAGAAAGATAAAATAGCACAATACCGAAGATGTGTCCGAATTGTGATCCTTATATTTGGTAGACATATTTTGCCTATACCTGTGTATTGAGTTGCCAATAAATAATTCGGTTACCATATAATTGTGTCATCTGCTGTTACAATAGCTCTGTTAATGCCGTTTTATGTTTCTACTTCACATGAAAGTAAGAAACATTGTATGAACTAAAGGAATGAAGCAATTCTTAAATAGTTCTCTTACCATCATTCTAAACATTTTCAGTCCTTTTCTTTTCCATAACATGCTGATAAGATAGGTGAGAGAAATACAAGATGTAGTGGCCTATAAGTCAAATTATTTTTGTAGGCTAATAGTACTATTCAGCTAGGTATGAACCCATAATCCACTAGCTGACGGCACTATACTTCCATTATTTGAGATACATTTTCAGGTTTCCGTGTTAATTCATTATTTCTTAAGTGGGTAGGTTGTCTCTCCTTAATTTCCATACCTCCCGATCATGAACTGTTTCGTGTTTACTGATATATACTAGAAAAAAGCCCATACCAAAATATATGGCTCAAAAAGAACGATAATAATGCGGAGCATAGAGACAAAGACGGTATCATTGCCATGGGAGCGACAACTGTATGGTTGAAACATAACTGCTTATTCAGTGGAATCTTATAATAGGCCTATTAACCAATTAACTAATGTTTGATCACTTGCCTAAGTATTATTAGATCGTGGAAAACACCCCTAAGGACATTAGAAAGAAGAGAACGCGAGGTTCAACAAAGATGTCTTTTCAGTGATTTCATTTTCAAAAGCTGTACAATCGCATTTAAATACATAGTTTTACATGGATACATAATTACGACGGCGAATAAAAGGTGACAATTATTTTCAACTAGATCTGGTTTACGAGAGGCTCAGAAACTCTCGCATATGACCAATTCAGTGTGCATATACCAGTTCACCTGCTCGAGCGGAGCTAGGTGCATAGGTCGTTGTATGCGTGTCCTTTCGAAACGTGTTAGAGAACATTACCCAGCTTGGCTGCAAAGAGGAAGCACCGGTTCAATCAGAAGTGCCATTATTGAACATCTGATTAACACCTCCCACAACATCTCAACTGATTCTTTCAAAGTAATTTACAAAGTCAACAGAAACCTACCGAAAGCAATATGTTTCCGACTTCTCTGTACTGCAGAAGCCCTCGCAATATGCATCGAGAAGCCGGAACTGTGTTCAGAAAAAATTAATCCAACCTCTACAACTACCATGGACCTAGTTCGGTATGTTCCCTTAGCTTACGATTTATTTTTTGATCTCTTTTCGTTCGCTGTGTGTGTGATTCTTACTCCCTCTGTCTTCATTCGCTTCACCCCATTTTTTCAGTTATAGAAACAGTTATTTTAAGTTTGTTTCCATGCTTTTCCTGCTCATATTTATAATTCGTTTAAAATAACTATTTTATGATTATATCTTAATCCTGTGCAATTTTTGTGTTTCTAAGGCTCTCGTAATCTATATTCACACATCCTAACTTCCATTTCAAGTTAAAATTATTATTTCAATTTTGTTTCCATGCTCATGTTTTACACACTTGTCATCCGTTCTAATCCTGTGTTGATTTTGTTTCTAAGCCTCTCGTAAACCAGATCTAGTTGAAAATAATTGTAACCTTTTATTCGCCGTCGTAATTATGTATCCATGTAAAACTATGTATTTAAATGCGATTGTACAGCTTTTGAAAATGAAATCACCGAAACGATATCTTTGCTGAACTCCATGTTCTCTTCTTTCTAAGTATTATTACTCACAAAAAACAAAAACAGAAAAGGATGATGTATGAGCTTGCTAAGCGGCAGGAGCAACTGGCTTTCTAAATATTAGCCCAAGATATGAAGACGTTCACTGACATAACGGCGGAGTACAATTTTTATTATTTTAATCCCGAGTGCAACATATACCGACCTCAAGCTGGAGCTTTGAAGTTTCAGTAGCAGTGGTGTTTATTTTTTTTACGGGGTTGGGTGGCTTGTCTCACGCCCAGACCTTCCCCCCTTTACTGGGCTTACTATCGGTTAAGCGAAGTTAGGGAGTGTGTTGGCCGGGGACAGAACCCCGGACTACGTGAAGTGTGGTTGGCGATTATTCTACCACTGACCCACCGAGTCGAAGTACGAAGCATATTCTGAAAATAACAACATCTCACGATACACTAAAGTACTAACGCCAAAAATCTTAATGAGGTGCACAAAATACTTCAACGACGACTACGTCCAGACTAAAGCAATCCACAATGAGAAATCTACTCCAGATTGGCTGAAAACTATGCCCAACACTGATTTGACAAAACAAAATATATTTAAAAAAAGCAAAAATTTATAAACTGTCATTATTAATACATTGATAAGACTCAAAACATTCTTTAAACCAGTAGGAATTAAAACTAAGAAAAATAAACTGTACCACAAAGACAGAGCAAAATCTACAATGAAGAATGAAGCTTCGAGAAGAAATCCATATTTTTTTTCAAATTCATAAAAATATAACTGTAAAATATAAAAATCAAAGAAAACTACACTGATCTCTCGTAGTTTGTTAAAATACACAAAAGTGAAAAGCGGCAAAGATAAACAGAGATCGTTGAACATATAAACATACACACATATATATATACAGCCCATAGTAAAGGGGAGAACTGTTAGCAAATCTATAAGTATATTGCTAAAGTAGAAAATAACAAGTGACTGGAAGAGAAAGAAAATACCGCTAAATGCTTTTTTTTCGTACAAAACTATTAGGCGAAGAGGCAAACTCTACTACTACTACTACTAGGGGAGAAAATACTCACAACAGGATTGTCGTTGAATAACTCCAAAGATGCGATATCATTTAGATGAATAATATTATGATTCAGACTGAATGAACGACCCAAACATGAAATCGCTAGGTCAGCGAAAGAAGAAATTGAAGATACTGATTCATGAAGATTTGGTTCAAAAGAATGCAGTTCTTGGACAAAATCTCCACATAATTGATGATAAACCTTTATTCAGGGAAGGAAGAAAAAACACTATAAAGAATATCTAGGATTAGAAATATATAAATAAATGGAAAGCCGATATTTGGTTTTTAAAAAAAAACCACTGAAAATATACAGCATTTGCATAATACAGCATCAAACAGTGAAACTGAGCATTTACAGTTTACTCTGATTCGCAAAAAATAGATATATCATGCATGCTGTAACATCATTTGGAGAACTATTACAAATTAGAGAGTACTGGAGAGTTGTTTCATTCTGTTCAGCGGTCAGCTCTGTCCTCCTTTATGGCTGTGAGACCTGACCATTGAGACTGGAGGACATGAAAAGGCCGTCTAGCTGTTTTTGATCATAGGTGCCTTCGTTCTATCTCCCATGTGAAGTAGTATAATAGGGTAGGCAATATTAAGGTTAGGCGCCGAGTGCTAAGTAAGGAGGGGAAATCAATCGACGAGGCTGTGAAGCTACATCGACTGAGACGGTTGGGACATGTTTTACGCATGCACGCCTAGCCATCGCCTTCCTCGACAACGGGCAATGTTAGCTGATATAGTGTGAGGTTGGAAAAGAACCAGTGGTGGTCAAACCAAAACATGCCTTCATCAGTCAATGAAATCCACAACAGTTAGTTTAAGCCAGCCACACAGGAAGTTGTAGACTGGCGATTTTTTGGTTGGGATCCTCGGGACGGTAAAAGCCGATGAAGGCTGGAGACAATTGGTGATATGGCTTAAACTCATCGTTCTCAATGGCGCAGATGCATCCAATCTTTGTGACCGATAATATCCAATAAAACTATATTGTTCTTCGATATTACTATTCTTTTTGTCTCATATCTCTGTTTACTGTCTCTATTTGGCATTCGTTTTTGCTTTCTTCTCTTGCTTTGTGTGCTACAAAGAGGGAGTGTGGCGACTCGAAGTGCTGCATATCGTTGCAAAGTTCTATGATGAAACCAGTCAGTCAGTTTCATTGCAGTGTGCGCCCACGACTCCATCAGTAATCGAGCGCAGGACTGTCAGGCCATAAGGCGAGCCTATTAACCATTCAGCCAGGAGGCAGGGACCTAGCGAACTGTGAATCCTAATATCTACAGCTAAAGATCCTCAAAATAGGGCTAAAATGCTGTCAAATACTTCCCAGTTTATAATGGCTATCTTTAACTCATGTCAATGTGTAATCTAACTTCAAATCAACAAAATCCCTGCAAAACAAACACTTAAAAAATGAAGATAATTACCCAGTATGAATTATGATGAATTATAATCCTTGATTATGCAATGAACTAGTAATTTGAGAATTAACCTTCAGAATAGGAGTAATAACAACTTAGATTCTCTTCAAAGAAATAGAGAAATGCAGAATCATCTCTTACAGAATACCTAATTACTCAACAAACATCTCTCTTAGCTGCGAACCCCATACTAAAAGATCGAATGTCTTTTCAAAGAAGAGAAGAAAAAACTTCACTTCAAAGGGAAAAGATCCCAGGGTTAATTTATGTTATAATAACAACAATGAATTAAGCAAGCACTTTGCCTGCCCAAAAGGGTATCACATTTCGTTGTTTATGTTGATATCTGAACTTCAGGAGAGAAAGAATTGTAATACGGAAAGACCATAGGATCTTAGTGGATATGACAGAGCACAAAAAGTGAATGCATCTGCGCCAGCCACTGAGAACGATTTCGAGCCATATCATTAATTGTCTCCAGTCATTGGTTCTTAACATCACCAGGACACCAACTAGATCATCTAAACCTCCCTAAGTGGCTGGCGCAAACTAACTGCTAAAGATTTCATGGACTGATTTGATTTGAACACCACTAGCTGTTTTCCAACCTAATCCGATGTCAGCTAACATTGCCCGTCGGTCGAGGAAGACAATGGGCTAGGCAGTCATGAGTAACACATGTCCTAGCCATCTCAATCGATGTGGTTTTGAAGATAAATTGATTGACTCTCCCTCCCCACCCAACGCATAGCCTCAATATTACTCACCTTAATATAACACCTAACATGGAAGATAGGACGCAGACAGCTATGATCAAAGACAGCTAGCCTTTTCATATCTTCCATTCTCAATGGCCATGTATAACAGCCATAAAGGAGGACAGAGCGAACCGCTGCTGTGCAGTACATACGTCCCTTGATATACAGACGGATATCAAGTCTACGCCAGAGCTGACGTAAGTTGTTGTTAAGTGTCACACGAGCCTCTTGTATCCGTGCTGAGATTTCGTCAGCGATCAGCGCTCTAGGGCTGATGCAACTTACCGAATAAGTGGAGCACTCAACGCGCTCTGCGACTTCATTCCCTATCTTTAAGGTAGGAGTCACAGGAGCAAACGCCATGCCAAACATGTGAAGACTGCTGCTCAAGGCATTCAGAAGACTCTGCTTTTTATCATCGTCTTCACCCAGGTGGGAGGACTATATCATCCGCATATTCTAAGTCGACAAGACTATTTCCTGGTAACAAGTGAATCTCTTAAGTCATTGAAGTCAGTTAGGGTCAATTCGCATCAAGTTTCCAGACACTGAGAAACCAACATAAACATGGTAGAAGATAGTTTCACATTATCTTATAGCCAACAAGCAATCGCCTAAATCACTAAATTAATTTTCTTTTCTATTCAAAGACAAACTTTCACCAACTAAAGAAAAGAATCCAAGTCATCATCATGATCTTGAAAATTCTTATTTCCACTGTCATGAGATTTTGCCTACATAAAACATAAAACAAATATGATATTTGGGACAATTTATTTAAAAATTGCTTCATCAAAGAAATAAAATTACTGTACACAAAGAACTAAGCAATACAACTTTTTCAAGTTCATGAGGGAGAATTCAGTTTTTCAGGTGTCGCAGCACTATTAGTCACACATATTTTGTATCAAGGCTGACGATACCACCACCGCCCAGTAAGTAACCCAGGCTGAAGTAGACGTCTGTCTGTCTGTCTGTTTGGATTCAACATAGAACTTGGCACTAACGTGCAACAGTTCCAGTTGCCACGTTCCAAATAGCACACAAACGTAGACAAGAAAATGAGTGAAGAGAATCAATAGAGTTTTGACAAGTATAAGAGTGAAACAGAATGAGTAATGGTAGAAAGTAATATGAAAAATTACAGAGACTGAATACATCTGCGTAAGCCATTGACAACGATTTTGAGCCGTGTCACCTATTGTCTCCAGCCATTGATTCTTAGAGTCTCGAGGGCGGGCCCCAACCCGGAAGTCTGCATCTCCATACCTGACTCAGTTTAAATGTCAAGGATTTCATGGATTGATGCCATGTTTTTGTTTGGCCACCACTTGCCCTTTTCCAACCTGCACCTATATCAGCTAGTAATGCCCGTCGGGGGAGACGATGGTTAGGCATGCGCAGCACGTGACCTAGCCATCTCAATCTATGTAACTTTATAGCCTCTTCGATTGATTTTCCCTCTTTGTCCAACACTCTACGCCTAAAGTCAACATTACTTACCTTATTATACCACCTAACATGAGAAAGAGATCGTAAACATCTATGATCAAAAACAGTCAACCTTTAGAAGTAGACGTAACGAGTTTCCAACCCGAAACTCATTAACTGAAAGCCATTTTTGCTTAAGCCTGTGAGTCACATCTCCACAACTTAGTACGGAGCGGAGACCGTTATCAACTGAATAAAAAATGTCAGAAACTCTGTGCCCAGTCAATCCATTAATCTATCGGAGGTGTAACATTTAAACTATCTGATAAACAGGTCTAAATAACTGTAAGGATAATGGTGTGTCAAAAAACAAACAACAACCTCATTCTATGATTGTGTCAAAATTGAAATGAATGCAGAACACACTTACTCTATGCCATAATGACTCTGGCAATAGACTGTCACGGTTTAACATAGTTATTAAAAAACTGTAATGCTTTTTTCGTTGTATATTATTTGACAATATTGGCAATGAATTATTCGCATTTGACAATCCATTGGAGACAGTTTTATTGTTGACAGCTGCAGTTGTGGTAATGTGTTGTAATGATTTCTTTTGAAAATTTTCAGTATGAGGACTATTAATTTTGTTGTTACTGTTGTTGTTGTTGTCATTATTACTGGGCGGTTGTGTCAACTTATTTTGATTTGAGGAATAATTTGCAGTTAAAAGGTAATAGGCCAAATTTTTAAAGTTGTCCGATGACATAATTACTAGTAAACTGGAGAAAAAAATCAGATACAATACAGATGACTTAGGAGTCTTATAGAGTGAAACAATAAAATCCACTCTGCGGTATATATATATATATATATTAAAGATTTGATTGATTTGTTACAGGATTTCATCATGAGCTGACATCGGTTAGAGAACCATTGAAGAATCCGCAGGGAGTACTGGACGTCCTAGTCTGGGACTCTTCATCGGTACGCACCCACACTGTGGGGTTCGAACCCTGGACCTTCTGGTTGCAAGGCGAGCTCGTAGACCATTATGCCACTGGGACCCAATCCAACGGCCAGTGCATGAATTCCAACTTCTGCCAATTCACGACATAGAGCGACCACTAGCCAATGTCTTCGGTGAGTATTTGTCCTTATGCCCAGCCTGCTGTACCCATTAGAACCCCAGGTAACTACCTACCTAAATAGGGCCAATCGCTATTGGTCACGCTGTGTCGTGAATTGGCAGAAGTTGGAATTCATGAACTGGTCATTGGATTGGGTCCCAGTGGCTTAATGGTGTACGAGCTCGCCTTGCAACCAGAAGGCCCTGAGTTCGAATCCCACAGTGTTGGTGCGTACCGATGAAGAGGCCCAAACGAGAACGAAACAACTGTTCAGTACTCCCAGGTTTTCCAATGTCAGCTCATGATGAAATCCTGTAACAAAGACATATATGCTAGACAATTGCCGCGGTTTAGTAACACCAAATAACGATGTGAATATCGAGCACCTACAACCACTGATCCATAAAGAACGTTTTCTCTGCTTTTGGTCGGTATCACTACACTATCTGGCCTAAATGGCTTTGGCGTCTCACTAAGCGCTAGGACCGAAACTGAAATACGAGAACGACCTCTTGCTAATATGGTCCCTTGTGTTCTGCTAAACTAGGATGCTCAGTTAAAGCAAAACCTCGTTAGGCAGACAGAATAAAAACTCAGCGTTTTTTATTAATAAAACATAATGCTCCATGGTCAGTTAACACCGATCAAACTTACAAAGAGGTCCGAAAGTGTCTTCAAGTAATAAGATGTCATGAAGCAATACAACGAAATCAGCTTAGTCGTAGGGCTTTTGAGACATGTCAGCAAGACTAATCATGGGACTGACTGACCTAAAACATCTCGCCGTTCTAGAATAAGGTTAATTAATGTACGTGACAACCAATGGTGCATTGATCGATCTACTATCATAGTCTTTCCAAAAATATTTGCTGTTATTATCCTAACCAACTTTGTGTGGTAAGCCTATTTGCAATGAGTAAACTGGATTTTGTTCAAGTTGTGCAGATGCACTGATCGTATAATTAATCCTCTATCAGTTGTTCGAACATTTTCAAACATATTTCACAGGAAGACAATTTCTCGAAACTTCTTGATAGTTGAACTGTAAGAGATTTGTTGAAGATGACGTATAATTAAGATGTGTCTTTTAGAGATGGGCACCCCTAAGAACTTTACCCGGTATCTTAGAAACTCAATAGGAAAGCGCTTTGTAGGACAGGATAGGAACAATTTTTCCCCCACCAAAATTGGGGCAAATTAGGACTGCTAGTTTCAACGCTTATCTTTACCTTTGCGATCGATGACGTTTTGAAAGGTGTTGTGGAAGTGAATGTTTTTGCGGAGACGTCTTGTCCTCTGAAAAGAAGATTCTTTTCGTGTATTCAGGTAAGAGAGTATCCTGTTAAACCCCTACTTATCAAATTAGTTAAACGTACTCTAGACTGAAAGGACATCCAAATCTATACAGTGAATTCTGAGCAGTAATTTGTGTGAAAACTATTTTTCTCATTCTAACATTAATACTTAATAGTTTAATAAGTTACTGCTGCTGATGACGATGATAAGACATGTGCTATCAAGGCTCAAAAAATATCAAACCATTTTCACCTGCTATTGGAGCTATAAATCTTCTCTATAATTTAATTAAATAACATTTAATAGCGTTGCCATTGGATATGCGAATCATCAGTCAGTAGTAAATAGGTATGGCTGACTAAGAGAACAATTTCGTATAACCACTACTGAACCAAGCGAAATACTAACGAGATCTACTGCATTCGAGATTACACATACATATTCTGTGAGAAAAACCTAAAACTACCTTGCGTTTCCATCTTTTTTCTCTGAAACTAACTATATGATAACCAAATGTCACTACAAGTCCACAGTACAGGCTGAAATCTATCAGCCAAGTTCACAATTTTACCACACTAACGCATATCCGTTCGCACAGACCAGTAGTACCAATTGATTCTCGTTACATCTAGAACGTTTGGCACAACCAGATAGTTTCCCAGCGTTACTTTGTAGGGATTTTATTTGTTTCAAGTTTGTTCACAAGCTGACATCAGTTGGAGAACTACTGGAAAACCTGGGAGTACTGAACAGCTGTTTCGTCCTAGTTTGAAACTCCTCATCAGTGCGCACCTACCGGGGTTCGAACTCAATACCTTTTAGTTATAAGGCAAGCTTGTAGACCATTCAGACACTGAGACACAATCCAATGGCCCATAATAGTGTTATTAGCCGTCACACAATGCTAAATGTGTTTGAATAAACATGCGACTGTTGCTAATTTATGTAACAGAAAACTGTGACGCCCAGATGATTGAGCTTTTAACGACCAATATTGAGGTTTACGAACTGTACTGAATTTGTAGGCGAAAGAAATAATATTTTGTTTAAAAAAACAGACTTACAAATTACAAAATGTATAACACCAAAATAACTGATCAATTTGTTTCTATAGTTGGAATTTCTAAGCCGAAACAATAATTTTCTGCTGAATTACGATATCGATTTTCATGTAAAACAGTCTAAAATAAGAAAATAAAATACACTGTGTAAATATAAGTTTTTAAGGAGCAGTCATTCTACACTCAAAAATATATATACTAGTGTGTAGTGATAATTACTGAGGGACAGTCTGACGACGGTGACAAACTGTTACCTGATTTAACTAAGGTATTAGATTATGTCTAGGGATGAGAGATAATTCAGTTAGACTGTTGTAAATCATTGATTACCCCAGTTTACAAGAAAGGGGGGCCAAGTCTTCCTGTGGTAATCACAGCGGGGATAAACTTGACTAATATAGTGTCTAAAGTTCTAGGTTCAATGATCAAGCGCAGACTAATTGGTGACTCGGAGAAACAAACTCGAGGGAACCAGGCAGAGGGTATACTGATCATATTTTCACCCTTCTACAGACTCAAGAACATGGACATACTAACCAGAGTTAAACACTTGCCATATTTCTTGACGTGAAAGATGTACGTGTCAGTGAAGTTTTGAACAAAGAAATCAATAGAAGTAGACAAGTTAAAACTTATTTATATAAACCATGCCAGAAGATCTAGGTTAAGGTAAGAGTAGGGACTTTAGCACTATGGTCGAGTGTGATTTATATTAAGCATGTTTATGTGATACGGCATATAGTGATGCTGAATGACATCTCAGACACAGTTTATTCCCCTTGATTATATTCTTAACGTGACATCCATGTCGAAAGTGGAAAACTGCGATTCTCTTAACTACAAACGACTGAAGACTAAACATTGGAAAATTCACAAAGTCAATAAAAACAACGCCTTTGTATCTTGCTTAAAACCAACAATTTTTATTTTGCACTTTCTCTTCCTGCTTTATGGTGTTTGATTTTGTGTTTCCTTTCTGTTTAGTGGTTTATGCTACAATATAATCAGAAAACAATGATAAGCATGGACACTTATTTATCACTTCTCTCAACACATATATTGACAGTTGGGTTAAATTTAATGAAAACAGCCACTGTGAGGCCAATAACACTGTACATAAGAATCTAACGAAAGGAGGAAAATTTGTTCACTACGCCCGTACGAATTCAACTCCCGATAAAAAGCACACTCCTAGACCTTGCGTCGCTAGCTTACGTGTCGGCGTTAGGCCCATAAAAGAGGGAAGGTTAAGCGAGAGGGCTAGCAACCCCACCCCGTAAAAGCAGCACCACTACTATCGAAAATCCAAAACCCTGAAGTCATATATTCGACTCGGAGAGCAAAGATTAAAGAAATCCGTCCAATTTTGAAATCTGTCTAATTTTCTCTCTTTTGGTGTGACTGTGTTCTTCGACTTCGATGATTTAACCACGAAGCTTTCAGTGTCATTCTAGACACCTTCAGCGCCTATTTTAATGTGAATTAGGCATCAAATTTACCGCAACTAGCAAATAAGAACTGAGAGCATTAAAATTTTAATAATAATAATAATAATTTGCTTTATTCCAGAAACAGTACAGTGGTACAGTGTGGAATTTTCAGCACATATCTACAATATTTGCATCTAATTTTACCGACGTTTAAAATAAGTATTAAACAAACAAAAAAAAGTAAATCTGAAGACACCAACAGCAAAAAAAAAAACCAAAAAAAAAAGAAAAAACAGGATAAACACAAAATAATTATGAATGCGAAAAAGTACCAAAGTCTGCCAAGGTCTAATGCAGTGTTTGTGGTGGTAGTGTGAGTAATCCTGAATAATACAAAATTTTTTTTTTTGAGGTGGTGACTATGGCATTCACAAACAATGATTGTCAGTTTAATATTGCCGAAAAGTATAGAAAATAAGAAAAGCAACCACAAAACTAATAATTACATGATGGTTAATGACACGACAATTTTGTAATACTCATAGTGCTAATATAGTCGGAACCAGTGATACACAATAGAAGGAATATAGTAAAGTACAAAAAAGGAAGCCAATGTTAATATTTCAGGTAGCTAAGTAGTTTGAAGAAGGAGTTCACTAAAGAATACGAAATAAGAGAGAAATAAAAGAGTATGAAATTATGTTGTTAATAACAAAGCAAGTCACAGGTTTCACGCCTAACATTGTCTCTGTCGCTTAGAACACGGGCCAAGTATGGTATCGTTGAGTTCCTGTACTTGGTTGTACGAGCATAGATTCTTTTATACTGATTTCTGGTTTTACTTGATGAGATACAAGGAGAGAGTTGGGAATAGAGGGGGTGTTGGGGGTCTGAGAGTATGGTTTTAGACCATTTTTCACATGTATTCAGATGCCTATCAACTAAAGTAGTCACGAGCTGACTGAGATTAACACCACTAGTCCTACTAACTACTGTCAACATCCTTCTCAGGATGGAATAGTCCTTTTTCAGTAGACCAGGAAAGACTAACGGGGAGCAGTAAAGTAGAATAGGTAGGATACAAGAGTTGACAAATTGTGAGAGTAGAGGTTTGGTGATTCCGGATTGTCTAAGTTTCTTAATGTAGTAGGTAAGACAGAACACTTTCCTAGAAATCATTAGGATATGAGATGTCCAAGTAAGGTCAGAAGATAGAACTAGACCGAGGTATTTTGCATTAGACTTAGTTTCAATTTTAGTCCCCTCAATGCAACAGTCTTCATGAGAACTTACTAGTGTTTGTAGATCTCGTTTATGCCTAAGGGAGAAGTCGACAGTCTGGCATTTTGAGGGATTCAGCATGAGACCATTTAGTTTGGACCACTCACTGATGTCCGACAGGAAGCTATTTAATTTGAGACAGTCTGACTGAGACTTAATGGAAAACGATACAGACAGGTCATCTGCATATTTGACGAAGTTGACTTCATCTGAGAGAGGTAAATCATGTAAGAAGAAGGAAAAGAGAAACGGAGAAAGAACAGCACCCTGAGGAACTCCAGCTTCAGTAAGCAATGGAGAGGAAGATGCACCTTTATATACCGTGTACTGCATCCTATTAGAGAAGTAAGAGTGCAGCCAGTTGATAACCCAGGGCTCAGTTTGTGCTAGGCTAAGCTTGTTTAACAAAAGGCCTCTAGGTACAGAGTCGAAAGCAGATGTATAGTCAAGGAACGTACAACGGACAAACTTGGCCCCTTTGTCTAAGGAGGATACAATGTTGTGATGAAACACAGCAGCAGCGTCCAAAGTACTTTTACCCTGTTTGTAAGCAAACTGCTTTGGATCGTTTGAGAAGCTTAGAGAGGGAACAAGTTTTAGTAACAATAGTTTCTCCATTAGTTTCAAAAAAGGAGAGGTTATAGCGATAGGTCTGAACTTAGCATTATTACCAGAGCCTGACTTAGGTACAGGGATGATTTTAATATCTTTCCACAGAGAAGGTACAACATTATTAGAAAAAGAAGTATTAAAAATGTTTGTAAGTGGGTTGCTTAAAATATCAGCACATTTCCTAAGGACAATGGCAGGTATACCATCAGGACCTAGACTCTGGGAAGGTTTAAGAGATTTTAAACATTTAAGAACATCAGAAGTTTTAAAACTATTAAAGTCACTGGTCATGTTATTTGTTACATTGAAGCTAGAAGGTACATTGGGAAGGCGGATAAAAGATCTATTAAGAGTATTTACATCAATAGAGGGGGAACAAGAACTATGCTTACCACAACCTGTAATTTCTTTGAAAAGCTTCCACATGTTCCCAGGAGTTTTACATGACAAAATTCTTTGATTATAAATATTGTTTAACCTCTTGATTTCGGATTTGATTTGGATGTTTATTCTCCTAAGACCAGCTTTATCCTTAGCCTTGTACAGTCTCTCTTTTTCTCTTCGAAGCTTTTTGAGATGAGGAGAAGAGAAACGATCTATTCTTTTGAAAAGTATCTGTTTAGGGCAGCATACATCAAGGCAGAATTTAAGATAGTCAGTCAGATTGGAAATAGTATCATCCAGAGTGTGTTCAGTGAAAAGTTCCCAGTTTGTGTCATTTAGCATACATCTTAGTTTGAGCACGTTTTCTTGTGAGTAACATCTTTGTTGTGTTTTCCTGGAGAGATTCGAGAGGATATTAGAGTGATATCTGCTATATATCTTGGGTAATATCCGAATAATACAATGATCAGAGTTCATTATAGGAGCACGTCTGCGTGCTTCATATATTTCCGCATCATTAGTAAATACTAGATCCAGAGTTTTATCAAGTCTATTATTATTATTATCTATTGTGGATAATGCACACATCAAAATCTTAGGAAAATATAATAAATACTTACTAGTGAAGAAGTTCTACAGACTGCAGAACAAAATTCAAATGCGTCCGTAGCTAACCGTAGATGTCGTCTACTGTTAGCATTGGTATTTTGAATAACTTGATTCCACAGAGATTTCTGGAATAATTTATGCAGATGAAAAACAAAAACCTTTTATGTAACTCGAGAAAAATTGAAACTAATCTTGTTATAAATGGATTGAAAATATTTTCAAATGTATGACAGAAGCAAATCTACATCGGCAAATGTGACAGGAACCAAAGGTTATATTTAGATCACCTATGGGTTTCTGTAATTTAGCGAAAATTTTGTATAGATCTGAGTGTTCACAGAGACATGACAAAATAAATAGTACTTTTAATAAAATGCTGATGTTTGAAACAACTTGTGCCACCTACTACATTGTTATAACATTCATCAAACTATTAAAGTTTGCTCGAGCTTTGCTTCACATATGATGAGCATGACCTCTGTGTCAGTTACCTAGTTAGTTAGAGCTCTGTTACCTGCTAACAGGTTATGAGCCACACATACCGTGTGAGTGTCGATGATACTACCAAATTGTCCAGGCTGGGACCCAATTAGCACGAAGTCGAGTGTTTAAGCCAATGAACTACATCTCCCCTACGTATTTAATCAATTATGTCTTCATCGGGCAAACTAAAACTCATCAAGATGTTTAAACCCAGGAAAATTCATGATTGAGCACATAAACTAAATTTGTAATATCACTTTTACTGACTAAGTTACATTTTAAGCATATACTCTTTAGGAATTAAGAAGCCGACAACTTACTGATGTCAAGCATATACAATTACATAAAGCACATTGCAAACATCCATCAAGTTTCTGGGTCGATGTAATTAATCACCAGCTACTTCTCAGTATTTTGTCAAAACGAAAAGGTGTGTGATGACTGAATAGGCCGCTAGTATCACAAAAAGATACGATGCTGGTTGCTGGTTTAAGAAGAAATGGGTGTTAGTTCTCTGCAGCTATGAAACAACCAACATTTACGGTTAGAAACTAGGCAAAACATTGAGAAATAGCATGTATGTACACATGCTTCGACTTATATTGGACTAAAAACATCTTGCCATTAGATATCAACGCTTTCAGCTAGTAACTTTACTGCATTTGACGTTACTGCTATTATTTTACTTTCAAATTTTCAATTTTATCCTCCCTTGCTATGAAACCCCATCATTGGGGAATAAAAAACAATATACTAGGTGTCCTTAAAGCAAGTATTTAGCTAAACTGACTAATTAATAGCGGAGGATAATCCATAAGAAAAAATAAAACATTACCGAATCAAATAAATGCTGCTTACATTAATCGGATCCAAACAACAAGAAACACAGTGTTCATAGACAGAACAACAATGATTATCTTTGCATGTATGACAAGCAAAGCGCCATTTGAAAATTTCAGATGGGCAACAACTATTGGTCAGTAAAGCAGTATAATTACAAATGTATCCTAATTCATCCACACAGATAGTATGACTCTGTTTGGTGTAACGACAAGTAGAATTCGGTGATACAATTCCAATATCTAAACAAAAAATAACGGGAGTACAGATTAAATTTGTTATCAAGTAGTTTCATCATCATATTACTATAACCAAGGTGCAATGAATAAATCAATTCCACAATTAATAAGAGGAAAGAAGGTAGTCAGTTTAGTATTTCGCTATACAGAAGAGAATTTCTTCTGAAAAACGCAGTTACACGATGTTTGACGTGTTAGATGATACTGGTCTATTATAGCCATGTCATCCTACCATGAGACGGTGACAGGACAGTTGAGTAATGCAGTGACATTGACTACGTAACGAGCAAAAAATAGATAAATCCCAACTCAACTGTTTTTAGCTCCAGTTAGTAAAAAAAGTAATTAGCTTTAAATCATTTTACCTTTCTGTGTCTAAAGAAATGGATGCTCAGATGATGTACTTTGGACTAAGTTTGATGAAAGCGACGCTATTTAATAAAATCTGAAGCTGAATGAAACTTCAGAAAACTCAAGAAAGGAGAAATTCTTTCTTGTGTAAAATACAATCTTTGGAGCAACTGACTTTACAGAACAAGTCGTTTAGGCACTAAATGATTAGCTGATAAAGCAGAGCAAAACTTTATACTGAAGTGTATAAGTAAACGTCACCACGATTCGAAAGGGAACGCAAAAGAAAACAGAAATGTGATGATATGACAAAAAACACATCGGTGTGGAAGAGAGAATAATTTAATAATTTATGAAAATTTCCAGAATTTATAGAACAAAGAATAAATATGTCTGTGTTAGTGGTCCATCCACTTGAAGCGAAGGTTTAAAGACGGTGATTTTTAGATTTCACGTTTTCGTCATCAATGTAGCAAGACATGTGAATTCATTTTCATCAAGTAGCAAATTACCACGCGCTTCCATTGGGTACGAGAGAAAATCAGAGAGATAATAGAAGCGTTAATGATTCAGAGTAAGATAAACAATGAATGGACCTGCACCAGGTGATGGCATAGTGTCCTATTACTTATCTTTCAATCACTAACTGTTAACACAAGGACTGCACTGTTCATTACATACAGTAGTGACAAATTATAATTCGGTAGATTGGTCCTTTACGTTTCGATTTAACCGTCAGTTTTTCTCAACGTGCTGTAGCTTCAGGTGGCACAATACACGGAAACAAATGCAATTCCAATCGCAAAAACATATCTAGACTAACCGACTCATTTAACCAACTACTTTTCCTTTCTGAAATAGTACGTCTAATTCTGAAACTATTTAAGTTGTTAGGTTTGTAGAGATTTGACTGATTTTTGGATCGATTTCGTTCCCAAAAACATCAAACATCGTTATTATTTACATTATGTAGTATTATATTACTGATTATGTCAAATAAATTTACATATTTGAAAGGATAAAAAGACAAATTACATTTCTACGGGACTGATGCTCTTACCGAGATTTGACACTTCAGATGGAAATGTCACATGTGCTACATTTTTCAGGCTTTCTTTATAATTCTAGAAGATAGTTATTAATGAAATTTACTCACATACATTAAACATGAAGGATGAACACAAAATCCATACAACTACGAGTAAGACAATCAGAAGACGAGAGCGATATCGGACCATAAATGTATAATTTTTAAAGCTTCATTAGGGTCAGTTAACCCTAAAGGATGGAGAGCTATTAAGAACACTAAACACAAAGGCATGCAACATATAACAAAAAGTTTCCTGATTCCCAAAAAAGTCTGGAGATAAAGCAGAAGCGCAAGCTGAAGCAAGCTTATTTATGCTACAAATAAAAATCAAAAACCAAATGTGGCAAGTTTTGAAATCTATACACATTGTTACTGTTTAGAAGCAGACTCACACCACAACATTTTACACTAACAGACAAATAATGATTGAGTTTTTTTTGTTAGAGCCACTTGGTGATACACATAGTTGGTGATTTTGACTTGAAATTACTTCTCCGACTGACAAACCAGCTTTTCCCTCAAACAGAATCTCGGTAACACAGAAAAACACTATCTAGTGCAAGATTGGTCAAAGTGATAATCATATACAATGAACGTTCCAGTTATTCAAAACGAAGTAAGGATGAATTCAGAACTTGTTTTCAGAATCTGTATAAATAATACTCTTACGTTTCATTGGCGTTGTTAATGAAACACCTTGTAAGCCAACTAGAGGTTGCAATTATTACTTTTGTCTTGATAAACTTATGTAGGGAAATTATACGCCCTAACGATCTACAGAGACATTTAAAAGCTACAATTGTTTAAATCCGTTTTTAATGCATGTATTTGTCCTTCATTTAGTTGCCAACATTCCGAGTAAAGTTCATTAGAATGCATGGTTCTTCACAGATTTTCAAACATTAACCCCTCATTTACTATTCGACATTCATACAGATAAGACGTCATGTGCTGCACCCTTAATAAATATATATTTCTACTGTAAACCCACCTAGATATTGAAGACGCTTCTAACGATTATAAATTTTTGGAATGACTGCATATGCATAAATATATAACAGAATGTAGAGACCGAAGGATATGCGCGAATTAACAAACACAATTTCGCAACTGCACCAACACCAATGTTTACCTGGGTACCGCTAAAGTTGAATAAGTTGGATTATTTAAACAAAAATGCTTGTATTTGGTTACAGAATGCTTTAAGAAAAAAGGAATGCATAACCTTACATGAAGACTTTTACAGATTTACAACCCAAAAAACTGAAATCGAACCCAATGACCGCTGATTTGAGATGTTGATATGCATTAGGCTCAATAATAGTTTGGCTGTGCTATGGTAACCTGTTGTCGTTTGTATATGAGACTCCGAATCGCAGTATAGAAACTGATAGAATATTAAACACTGCTCACTTTGTAGAAAGCTCTGACCTTCAGATTACATTTCGTTAGGGGATTATTAGTTTGATCAGTCGGCTTGTTATTGTGAGTTTGTTTCGACACCACTTTACATTTTCTCCTGCTTTTCTGGCATGTTGTCTCGTCAAATGTCTCGACAACTATGGCTAGACATCCTCACCACTTCTACCAATCTCATATGCCTTATAAATAGGCAGCCATTAGCTCTATTGGAGTTAATCGATAAGTTATGCAGCCAAAGCGCATTCATACTTGCTCGAAAGATTGATTCTAAACAATAATGCCATCTCTCAAACTCAAAAATCTGTAGTTCCTCGAAGCACTGACCTTGCAAGCAAGTTTATCTACACCCACTTATACCCTGAATTAGCCGGCTCATTGTCTTGTATACTTAACATCGTCACAATTGTAGCAACAAATGCTCTCTGAAAGGTGCTAGCCCTGAAACGTACCAACATTCAACACTGAGTGATTACTCTCACTTCTTAAGCAGGTTATTGAGCTGAAAGCAGTCTTTTGAGCAACATCATCTGACACTTTGTCTTTTGATGCTCGCTTGTCTGTTCATGACCTTTTGTTGCCCTGTCAAGCACCTCGATCTAGTGACCACATTGTAGTGGCCCATTTTATTACTCACCATCGTAGTATACTTTCACTATGTAATTGGATTTTGATTTGTTTATCACTCTAAAGATTGCGTGTTAACAATTGATACATTGTACTCGCTCAATTTTTGAATTTTGATTACTGCGATAATATCGTATCGGATAGTCTGTAGTGACCCATTTTATTACTCATAATCGTACTATACTTTCATTGTGTAATTGTACTTTGATTTGTTATTACTCTAAATCTTGCATGTTAACAATTGATACTTTTGTGCTCGCTCGATTTTTGAATTTTGATTGCTGCAATAATACACTGTCGTATTCCTTCGCAAGTGCCTTTTGAATAACGTTGTGGATATCGAGTAATCACAACGTTAGCACACAATTATAAACGCGAAGAAGTAATAGGATATACATGTACGCTAGTTTGGTTAAAATAGAGCAACACAACAACATTTCAGGAATATATTTATAGTGTAGGACAGTCAAAAACTGCTATTTTCGCCCCTGCCAACTGTTTCTGGTTGCTTACGTACAAAGCAGTTTGCGGGTGGAAGTTGTTTAATCTAACTACACATATTATCTATGCGAACTGGTGAGCCTGGCATCAACTTGCTGTCAAATACTATTTTTACCTATCCCGTAAATACGGTAATTTTTAATGTGAACATATGTACCGTACACTCCGAGGAACAAGGGCTCATACAAACAGGGTCGGCGATAGCCCTACCGATCAATTTAGTTCTCCTTCGCCCGATAATGCTGAAGGAGATTTCTACAAACTTATTGTCCCAGTCCGACATTACCAATACCATGTGGCTATATTAGGATTGTCATGTGAACTAGGGAAATTTGCTGGATCTTACATGCTAAGTGAGGTGCTGTGTTATCTACAGTGCCTTTTCAAAGTAGTAATTCCAAAAATAGGTTGTGTAAAAGAAGGATTATTAGCGTTTGCATGCAATATTTCATCATGCTGAGTTGAGAAACATTAAATCCAGAAACGTGCCTTTAATCATGAAAGGGTTCATTATCCCCTAAGAGTTTGTTGGTCCCCAAATGTCCCTCCTAATCCATTCAATACTCCCAAAACATCCAAATGAGACTATTTAGAGAAATTGGCCTTGAAATGTTGCCAGTGGGAAGACGTGAAGACACTACAGTTCGCGTGTTTTATTCTTTTTTTACCAAAGTGATTTACGAGTGTGAAAATGTAAATAGGAAAGCTATAAAATGTTGTAAAACCAGCTACCAGACCCAAAAGCTGTTGGAAAATTGTAGAGGTAAACAACGACATGAAACATGGAAGGAAAATTTAATAAGCAAGTTAATTTACTTTGCGAATCCTGGCAGTGAATGTTTCAGTGAAAAATGTGTCTTTTAATCATAAGCGACCGTTCAATCAGAACGTGTTTCTGCCTGTGTATCAACCGACGCTTTTGAGGTCTTAGCAGTTCTGTTTCTACCTTTTAGTGTGACAGGTTAGAACGTTGATCAGTTATTGTTAGGCATATTGTGGTAGTCTCTAGTGTCAAGTATGAATGCGTTTTTCAAGCGGCCATTGGTAACCCAGTCTTCGTTCTTCTTTCCGTCTGTAATGTCGGTAGCAGTCGGCATAACTCAGTGCCGTCTCAAATTCTTTTACATATGCTATATGGCAACACTAGGGGATGAAGTGGAGGAGGAGAAAAGTCCTCTTACAATCTCAGATCACTTCCACATACTAGCTCCATATCAGTGCATCTGCAAGGGACTGTAGTATTTAAAGATACTATAGAAATATGGATAAGTGAGTTATTAAATTCAACGGTTGCCTGACAATATAGTTATAGCCCACTTCTACAAATTATCAATATAATCCACAGATACGGTTCATTTAAAGGAGTTGTTCACTGGTTTTGGGGGTGTCTTTGGGCGAGGAGGTGTTTCTGTAAGTTATAGGTGAAACAACACGAGGATTAACAGAGCAAGTAGATAGTAAGAACTAGTTAGAAGACGAAAGGAGGGCTAGCACGACTATATTTTCGTTCGAAGGAGAAATTATGTATATTTGAGGGTGAGGATAAACGTTATTACCTTTTAAATTGGCCTCGCTTCTGGTTTTGACGTCTTTCATTGGCTAGAACAGTGGTAGTCAATCAATTTTTATTTGACATAGGTAGGTGCTGTCGTGTGCGGTTTTGAGTGTTTGTATTATGCTTGGTTTGAAAGCAACTGTGATGAATATTAATGTAACATTTGACTGTTCTAACGTTGTTTCACTGTTTCTTATACAGATGCAATGCTCTTTTCGATTTACACTGTCTTGAAACTGGTTAGCCATTATGGTGATTATCAGTGACTACGATCCGTGGGTCCCAATGCATTTCTTCATTTGTGTTTACAAGTACAGTATTTCCTACTTCGACATTTCTCACTTACATAGTCTGGTGTCCTGTGTTTCTTGCGAATTAACTGTGGCAAGCTGTGGCAAAAAAGTACTTCGTTACCGAAGCCTATTCTATAATTTCACCGCATGTAATCAGTGCAAGCGGAACCAGCACATATGTAAGAAGCTGCGAATGCTTTGGAAGACTTTCAAAAAGTTAGGACCTTATAAACTGCTAACAGTGACGACCTTTTTTACATACTAGTATGTGGCTACGTTCACACGCAGAGGAAAAATTGGCGAATGAGACATTGCATAGTAGTGAGAGAACCTCCTGGAACTTTCATCTAGCCTATATGTTCCGCTCTAATATTTTTATCCCCCAGACCACTAACAAAGTATCGTTAAATGTACTCTTGTGGTATGATTCGATGGTACAGGTACAGGCAGTGAATACTATAATGTGTGCGTAATCTTCATGATATTTTCTGCACCATTAACGTGCTCCACATTTCAAAAGAAGTGTAAACTAGGATGACAGAATTTATTGAATCCTTGAGTCATATACGGTCATGCATGTTAATTATGTAAATGCTTAATTTATGTGATCGAATTTAGTCTGTATCACCTTTAGGAATGTTCAGTCTTAATGAGGTCTGTCATTTGGTTATATTCAGTGGAAGCAGATGTAGTCGCATTCGGACAAAGGCATTCAAAAAACATTGAAGAGTGTTTTACGACTTATGACCAGATACATTTGCATAATCAGCTGTAGGAATTGATGCACACAACATCAGGTGAAGGTAGGTTCACTCATTCACTCATTACCATGCAGATATTCTTTGTTCCAGTTTGTGATACCAGATAACTTTGGATGTGAGCATACAGTTCTGTGTACTTGAATTGTGGAAGAATTTAAACGTGGCGCAATTCGGGCACTGGGCAGATTCCGTCAAATAATGAAGGATACTTACTAAACGAAGACTTACATCTTGGGCTATGCTCAGTCTGTATGTTTAAATGAACTTGTTTGCTTTGCAGTGATATCAAACTCTTTATCTAATATTTTTGCCCTCTACTTGATATACTTGCAGTTGAAGTACGGCATGCTAGACCGGCACTTCCTAGGATATGAATTCGTTACTGTATGCAAGTGTAATTCCGTACGAACACTATCGACGTATATAAGTGGTGAATTATAAGTACTTTAGTCAAGCCGAAACATCTGTCTAAAGTTACACGATTACGTCTCGTAACCATAGCTAAATCTGTAGGGATCAATTACAAAATAAACTAACCCCTGCATCTGAAAAATAAGAATAGAACTTAGGCACTGTGGTGGAGTTCAATTTCGTATAGGATTAAGTGCATTCAAAAGTAGTACATTACTCTTACTTCACTTAAAGTGTGATGTCAATCCATGTGATTATACCTAAAAAAAAGTGTTATAAAAGTTAAAGGCTTTATATTTGCATGCCTTTGCTGAAAAGGTTCACTCTCCTTTCTCATTCTTTGGTTATGACAGCATTCTTCTGTGGTTTTCACTGTCACACACATTATTTATCTTCTAAAGCATAGCACTAAGCAAATGATAATAATTTTATGTGTTGTATAAACGGGTATTTACAAGAAATGCATGCCATTCCTACAGGCACAATAAGTTATGTTATAAATTGCAGTCGTGAAGTATCATAAATTAATAATTTTTCGAAAGTTTAAATCATTCGATTATTGTACAAGCAATCAGAACAGGTTATGATAA